TAGATTTGAACGTATGACTCACCGATTCTAAAGAATAAACTGCAATTTTTGCGTTTAGGGATATTCGGCTCATCTCTGCTACTTTATTCTTTTTTAATTTCATTATCTATACAACTTTTGAGATGAACATATGCATTTACAACATTAGGTGTTGACAATGGACCAAACGCAAGGATTACCCGACCAAGTTTTCGTGTGCAATTCTGGTCTCGTATACAATAACAATGTCTATCTTAGCAAGTTTCGTCACAAGGAGAGGTACGCCTAGTTTTCTATTTCCTTTGAGTAACTTTTTCTATAATGTTCATGCAGAGGATTGTAACTGCTACCATTGTTGAAATTTTGTTGTTGTAGGTCTGGAGAACAAGAACACTATTTGAAATGGTTTAAATCTCAGGGATTTCATGTTTACGGTGAGGACTACCCAGAATTCTTTGAAGGTGGTGGCGATTCGGTGTTTTCCGATCCCAGCACGCTGTGGGCAGGATACGGGCAGAGGTCTGCCAAAGGGGTTTGTACCTGCTTTATTGTTTTCTTCTCTTACTTTGATTTGAATACCTTTAAACACAACGTGAAAGGACTTTTGTGTTTAGATCCCACCATGAGGATCTAAATACAAGGTGTAAAAAATTAGAATGCTATTGCTCGGAAACAGCGTTTTTATTTTGATTTTCCCAGGCCATGATGATTCATTCTGAAATAGTTGCATTTACTTGGATTTTCACCCGTAAACTGATTTTAGATCTCGTTGCATTGCGGTAGTCATAGGAGCTCCAACTGATGGAACTCTGCAGCTGGTGTAGAAAGCTTATTGTATTTTCGGGCAACATATTACGGAATCAAATGTCATAGTTGGACTTAAAGTATTAGGCAATCAACAAACATATTTTTAGCGTTATTAGAACTATTTGCCTCTATGCTAATAATGCCGCAGGCTAATAGAGCAACCTATGACTTCATACCGTAATCCTACAGTGATGGAAAGAGGTAGCAAATCCGTTCATGACTGGATATCTAAGTTCAAACTAGTCCTCCAATTGACCATTGAGTTCTAAAACATTTTGGTCAAGGAGTTGTTAGCGATCAAACGGTGGTCGCATTTTTGCGACATCTGTATAAGTTTGATAAGGTGTGCATGGAAATCCAGAGAGCACTTTACTGTTACGGTTTTCCAGCCAATTACGCTATTTTTGAGACATGCACGAATATCGAGTTTCAGCGGAATTATTAGCATGAAAAATACTCGAAAAAAAGCCACAAAGACTGATTTATGTAAAGAAAAAGCTTTTGGTATATGTATTTGCATGTCCTCTTTAGAATTGATGGCTTTGTAGTTATTAGGTTGATACATTGCCATTGGAAGGAAGCAATTTGCGAAAATTATTTGTTTGTCGTAGTATCTTGTTGGCAATTCCTTTATTTTCGACTTGTTTCAAAACCACCAATTTAGGAGAAAAGAATTGAGTTTATAACAGAACTCTGCTTCTACAAAATGAAAGACCTCTAAAAAGTAAAAGAACGGTTCAAAGTATGCGTCAAATACATTGACTCTAATTAGCTTGCAGACTTAAGCTATGACACCAACTCTTCTTTGTAAAGATCCCCTCAGGATTTCCTTTCTTCCAGCGTTT